CTAGCTCTTATTATTATTCTCCCATTTCTGTTTCTGTTTGAACTGGCACTTATCTTCCTAAACTTGTTTCATTCGCAAATTAAATAGCGTCTGACACTCCATTTTCCCTGAAAATCCTCTCCTGACTAATTGGGAATGCCAATTTCTTCTCCTATCTCCAGGTCTTTGTGTGCCAGCATCTTCTCAGCCTTACTTGTCACTGCCTTCCCCCATCCTCAGAGCAACAGCAGGAAAGCTGCCATTGTTCTCACATACGTGATTCAGCTGTAGGGCGTTTACAGAATTATCGGTGTTTGTTCATGTCAACATCGCCTATTATAGAGTCCAAGTGTGCGGTGGACACAGATGGTGTTGACTTAATTGATTTTTTGAACACCATGTAGTCGCTCACTTGATTCAGGTGACTATATCAGCCTTTTGATGATGATGAACAATTCAGATTTTGGGTGGAGACAGGCAATTGGTGGCCAGACAAACTTGCTTTAAAGGAGGTTGTATGAACCGAGCTGTGTCTCCGGCTTCTCTCATTAGAATCTAAGAAGTCTATTGGGAGCAATTGGCATAATGGAAAAAATGGGAACCTTGGAGTCCAAGAGCCGAGTTTGCATCCTGGCTCTGTGCAGTAAGTGAATTACTCAGCCTCTCCAAGTTCAGGTCTCCTGAGCTCTTCAATGAGGATACAACAAATACCATCCCTGTTCATTGGTCAACATTGTCGTGATAATCAAAAAAATTATTGCTCAGAACATGCTCTGTAAAATATAAAGAACTGTACAAGAGCAAAGGAGTAATGACAGATGCTAAGATATTGAACTTCCTTTTAGGGACAGCCAGGAGGAGACAAGAAGTTAGTGCAGGCCAGTGGTCAGGTGGTTACATTCTCAGGCCTGGCTGGGAACCAGTAACCACTGGCCTGCCATATTAGGCTGGCAGATAGGGATGAGGGGTCCATATAGTGGCAATATTAGGGCATAGGGCAGGATAATATCAGCCAGCATGGTTCTCTGACTTTTCTGAAGCAAGAAGACCAATAGAGAGCACTGTAAATGAGTGAGTCCTCTAAGAATAGTTACAGGAGTGGTATTTAGAGAGGTCTTTTATCAGATTAAAAATGGCCTTTGTCCATGAGCAACATAGAATTGAAACATAGTGGCTTAAATCATTATTAAAGGTTTTAATTTTCTCACCTAAAGAGAAGTCCCAAGGTGGCAATTGAGGGCTGATGTGGTCACTCCATGAACAGAGACTCAGACTTCTAGAAATCCACTTTATTATTATGGTATGATCCTTCTCCCGCATTGCATTGGAGCTCTTGATAGTTGCCAAGGCACCAGCCATCATGTTGGTATCTCAAGCAGGAAGAATGGGAGAGGGTGCTTACCAGCTGAGTCCTTTACCTTTAAAGGGGTTCTCAGAAAACACCATCTAATGACTTCTGTCTACATCTTCTACATCTTGCTGGACAAGGAGGGCTGGTAAATGTGCCTTTCTGGCACATAGAATTAGCCCTAAATAGAATTGGGGTTCTGTTAGTAATGAAAATGGGGGGGTGGATACGGGGTGGGCAGTTTGTTGTCTCTGCCATAGGATTCTTGTGCTCTGATGTCCCCATATCACCACACACAGTCCTCAAGGGAGAGACGTGTCATTTGGAAACAGTGTAGCATCGATGGCTCAGAGTATGGATTTGGAGACAGATAGTCCTGGTTTCAATTTTTTAAAAATGTTTTATTTATTTTTGAGAGGGAGATAGAGATAGCCTGAGCAGGGGAGGGTCAGAGAGACAGGGAGACACAGAATCTGAAGCAGCCTCCAGGCTCTGAGCTAGCTGTCAGCACATAGCCCGACGCAGGGCTCGAATCCACAAACCATGAGATCATGACCTGAGCTGAAGTCGGACGCTTAGCCGACTGAGCCACCCAGGCATCCCAAGACAGTTCTGGTTTCAAATCTGCCTCCGTCACCTACTAGCCGTGTGACCTCAAAATATTTACTCGACTGTATTGAGCCCAAGCTTTCTGATCCACAAAATGTTGATGATAATATTTCATAACTTGGGGTTTCAGTGCAAATTTAGTGGTTCTGCAGAGCCCCTGGAACAGTGTGTGGCACCCAGAACACACTTGAGAAAGGTCTCTATAAAAGTTCATGAAGTGAGTTATTTAGTGGCAAAATGTGAGTGATAGTCTTGTTCTACAATGGTGAGAAAAAGATATGTTTTGGATCAAGTGTGGGTATCAGACCTAAATAATTTATGACTAGCAGCTCACATCAGAATTCCTAGTAGGAAGGAGACTTTCTCTGTGCTGGAAATGAACTTGCTGAGCCTGGTGGGGGCCGGGATGTGTCTGGAGAGGGAGGCCTTCCAGGAGATCTTGAAGAAGACTGATGTGGGAGCAAAGAACATGCTGGCCACATGTATACAGCAAAAGTATATGGCCTCTTGTCTGTTTTTCTAGAGCCAGGAATGGCTTTAAACTTTCTGAATGTTGAAGAAAAATCAAAATAATAATATTTCATGACTTACAAAAATTATATGAAATTCAAATTCCAGTGTGCATAAATAAAGTTTTATTGGAACACAGCCACATCCATCTATTCATATTATCTATGGCTTCTTTTATGCTGTGATGGCAGATTTGAGTAGTTGGACAGAGACCGTGTGGCCTGCAAGCTTAAAGTATTTATTGTCTGGCCCTTTACAGACAAAGTTTGTGACTCTGGAAAAAAATGAGATGTGGTCAAGCTGAAGAGTGTGAGAGAGGCAGCCACCCTCTGCTGCTGGGATAGCCTGGGGACCATTTAAAAATGGACAAGCTCAGGGTTTCCTCTGGGCTGACTTGGTTCCCCCTCCACCCCAGATTCATATATAGAATGCAGACCCCTGGTACCTGAGAATGTGACTGTATCTGGAGACAGTTCATTTAAAGAGGTAATTAAGTGAAAAATGTGGTCATTAGGGCATCCCCTAATCCAATACGGCTAGAGATAAGAACATGGACACACAGACAGAGGAAGACCATGTGAGGACACACAGAGAAGTCAGTCATCCACAAGTCAAGGAGAGAGGCTTCAGGAGAAGCAGACCCTGAGGACACCTTGATCTTGGACTTCTGGCCTCCAGAATTAGGAGAAAACAAATTTCTCTTGCTTAAGCCATCCAGTCTGTGGTGTTTTGTTATGGCGGCCTGAGCACACAGGGTTCCATCAACTTGTTTGGGTCCCTGAAATATCATCTTTTCCCTCATCTTTCTCCCAGAGCATGTCTTGTATATAAGAAGCTACAGGGTCCTGTGTGTGATTTTTAACTTGCAGACATCGAAGGGGAGGCTAAATTTCATATATGGGTCAGTCTGGTCAAGAACGGTGACATAATCGTGTGAACACAGGGAGATAGAGGTGACTTTGAGCACTTACTTGAATCATCTTCATGGAAGCCTGAGGTGTGGCTCTGGCTCCTTTTGGGGGTGCAGTTAGACACAATTACATTCATAACATGGTTAGAACAACAGTAACAGCAACAAACTCAAAACAACAAAGAGTGATTTTTGAAAGCCATCTTGTGCAAAGATTTCTTGCTTTCAAGTCCAAGTTGATCAGGGCTGTATTCTCTAGACATTTTTTCCCCTATGTTTCTCCTAGCGTAGAGTCCTAGAGTCCTTCCATGTTTGGGCACCGCGTTAGGCCCAGAATCAAGGCCAGGTGACCTGTTTTATGGGAGTGTTTGTTTTGGGAACAGCCAGCTCTCAGAGGACATGGGACACTGTCTGTCACTCTCAGAGTTCTGTGATGGGCAGAGTGAATGTCTGTGTGGCCATTTCCCCACTTGGCCATACTGTTCTTTGGCTTTTGACATGGCACCACCTTAAAGCTGCTGCCATGGAAGCTTGATCTCCGGACTTGATTCCTATAGCTTGTCCACTGCTTTGGACGCCGAATCTCTTCTCTGGCTGTCTGTGCCCTGGAAGCAGGGAGAAGTCTCCACCTGGAGCCTGGAGGATGTGTGAGGGGAGGGTGTGCAGCTGTTGTCATTTTAAGGTTACCATCTTAAAGGACTGTCATGCTCTGACACAGATGGAAAGGAGCCAAGATTAGGGGCAGCATCTGGTCAAGCTGGGGAGAAAATCTGCCCGTCATTTCAGGCAAAGCCTCTCAGATGGCCAGGATCCCACTTCAGGAATGGAGGACTAGTCCTCTAGCTTCTGGAAATGCTCCTGGCTGATGGCCTTCAGCTGGAATTACCTCTATTGAAGAAGGCCACCTTGCCTGAGGACACTCTCCCCCACTAGGGCTGGGACATGTCTAATGACTGATCGCATGGGGGTCTAAAAGCCTGGCCTCTTCATCCGTACTTGGGACTGCTTTGAAGGGCCTGTCCCCAAACCAAAATGCTCCCTGGAGTTGGACGGGGCTTTCTGTGTTTGACTTTATCTTCTGTTCTAATAAGGCAGTCATCACCAGATGTTTGAAACAAAATACTCCTGAAAGAGAACATTTCAGTGTTCTGAACTTCCCGTAACACTGAAAGTGGAGGAGGAGGAATGAATGAATCTTCTGTCTCTAAGAATTTGTAGATCTTTCAGAGTATGTGTACAAATGGACTGCATTTCAATAAAATGAAATGCAGCATACCCAAACTCACAAAATGGAAAAAAAAAAAACGAGGGCCACAGTTTTTTCTGATTTAAAGATTATTATTATATAATTATAATCCATATATATACATGTATATATAACTATAATTCATTTACTCATTCATGGATTTCTCAAATGTTTGTTTGTCGATTTATTTATTGGAGGGATTCACTGTTTTCTCCAGCTTACTGAGATGTAAATGATCCACAATGCTGTGTAAGTGTAAAGCGTATAGCATCATGATGTGATACATGTATATATTGAGAACTGGTTACCACGATAAGGTTAGTTAACACATCCATCACCTGATGTAATTATGTGTGTGTGTGTGCATGTGTGGTGAGAACATTTAAGTTATATTTCTGAAAAGCATGGAATGGTTTACGAATTTGGGTGTCATCCTTGCCCAGTGCCCATGCTGATGTTCTCTGTATCATTCTGATTTAGTATATGTGCGGTTGAAGTAAGTACTATCAAACATCTATTGAGAATCGGTTATGTACCAGATATCATGTTAGGTTGTGAGGAACCTTAATGGGCTCTCGTTCTAATGACGGGATGCAACCAGAGAGGGAAACCAGTAAGTAAATAAATAAAGTAATAGAAACTTTGATATCATATTGCTGGTGAGGTGATGGAGAAGCAGGTGCTCTCATATATTCTTGGTGAGAATAGAAATCAGTACAAGACATTTGCCATATTTATCAAAATCGCGAATGCACCCACCTGCGTGCCCAGCAATGCCACATCTGGAGTCCATCCTAAGGAAATAATAGTGACAAATATCATGAGCACAAGATTATTCACTGCAGCATTATTTGTAATGGAAAAGATTGGGGACGCGCCTCGGTGGCTCTGTCGGTTGAGTGACTCTTGATTTTGGCTCAGGTCAGGATCTCATGGGCACACCCTTGCCCTGGGCGTGAAACCTGGGATTGGGATTCTCTCTCTGTCCTCCCTCTGCCCCTCTTCTGCGTACCTGCGCATGTGTGCATGTGCTCTCTCTAAAAAATATATATATAAGTAAATAAAAATGGGGAAAAAAAGATGGGAAGGAACCAGAATTTTCCCAAATAATACATCCATATAATGAAATACCATGGTGCTGTCTAAAAGAATGAAGCTTGATACAGGAGGCTCTCCAAGATATATGGAGGTGCAGATGCAGAACAGCATAAAAACATGTGTATACAAAAGGGGAAGAAAAAATATTCTTAAGTATATGTATATCATATATACACTTACAGTACTTAATATACTTAAGTGTATTTCTATAATATATAGACACTATACTTAAGTGTGTGTATATATATATATATATAACATATAGTTACTGTGCTTAATATACTTACATATATAATATATATATTATATATATACGATCTCAGGAAAGATACTTGAGGAATTAACAGCTGCTGCTGGGGAGCAGAACTCAATGTCAATGGGATTGGATTATATATTCTTGTTACCTTTCAAATTACCAATCAGGTGAATGCATTGCCTTTTCAAAAACTAAGTACAAGTTTAAAACTTAGAAAAGAATAAGTGTATGAAGTGAGCAAAGTCCTCATGGAAGTATGTATATAGTAGGATCGGGGTGCCAAATCGATTTATGTGTGAATTACAAGACATATGATGGAGAGAGGCAGTGTCAGACTAGAGCTCCTTTAATATTCTTAGAATCCCATGTGATGAAGAAAGAGGGGCTTTTATTAGAGGATGCCTGAGTTCCTCTCAAATGCCAGAATTCTGGGGTTCAGTGACTTTAAGAAACTGAAAGACAGCCCGGAGCAGAGGTTTGTGTATATGTAGGAGGGATGGGGAGCTTTAAAATTGAGGTGCTAGGGGTGCCCGGGGTGGCATTGACGGGGGGGGGGGGGGTTGACTCAGGCAGTGAAGAGCCTGACTCTTGATCTCAGCTCAGGGTATGGTCTCTCGGTTTGTGAGATCGAGCCCCGCGTCGGGTTGCATGCCAGTGGCACAGAACCTGCTTGGGGCTCTCTCTCTCCCTCTCTCTGTCCCCCCACTCTCTCTCTCAAAATAAATAAATACACTTTAAAATTTTTTAAAAAACAAAGCGCGAGGCGTGCTCCCAGCAACCGTCCGATCCTTAGGGAAAGGCAGTTCATCCGCGCACATGCTCACCAAGCAAAGCGAGGCAGGGCTGGCCCCGCGTTGCCCGCTGTGGTTGTAGCTTCCTGGCTTCTCAGGTGCTGCTCTGCGTCTTTAAGTCAAACCCAGGCAAGTAAATTTAGTACCAGGAGTGGGAGGCTGCTGAATAATTAAAGAGTTTTCTCTTTGTTTTCTTGATCTATATGTTTCTATGAACACACCAGCTATTTTGTTAGCCTCCCGCTGTGGGAAAGATGCAACTTTGTGACTTTGGCAATTGTTGAAGAGATTTGAAGGGAAAAACCTAGCACAGATTTATTAAGTGATTTATCTCAGTTTTTAATAAACCAGGGAAGGAAAGCTACGAGCCAAGGAGCGGCACCGGGAAAAACAAGCCAAGGCCCGAGACAAAAATAACCCACAAAAGAGATGCTTGCCTGTAGCAAACAGGATGCCACGGCGAGCCGCAAGCCCAGGGTCCTGTTTGAGGCTGGGCCTCCCTCAGCAGTGGCCCCCAGGCCAAGTGTGGGAAGGGTTCCCTCTTGCACGCCAGCGCCGGGCTCGCCCAGCTGACGGCCACGCACACGCTGTGCTCCTAACCCATCTGGGCTCATCTGCAGCCGGGGTGCTGGGTACCACAATTGATTCCGCTTTCTCGCGCAGCGCTGTAGTGACCTCCGTGGGTCAGGTTTGCTCGCTGTCTCGCTCCTGATCTGAAAGACTGAGCATAACCACGACTTAACACTGTAAACCCTGTGTTTATTCCCAGAATACCTAGAATGGCCCTGAGGTGGATCCTCTAGGGAACGAGATTTCCATTTGTCACTAAGTCCTCCTCCCAGGTGAGAAGGCACAGAGGATGCCTCCTGCGCACTCAGGATGGTTGAGTCAAGGACCCATGCTCCCTCAGTCAGTAGGGAAGACTCCATTTTCCCAAGTTTGGATACTGTTTCCTGGAGGGTCCTGGTGGCCCAGGGTACCCTCCCCATCCCTGCCTCCTGTCTTCTGACCCCTAATTTTCAGAGTGACACTGAATCTACTTCCTGTCAGACTAGCTCTTCCACACAAGCAAACTCTTCCCCCCACACCAGGCCTTAAAACACTGTGTGTGTGATAAGATGTATGTAACAGGAAATTGTGTCTGTAGGATTTGTCCTTTCTTAACTGGCTTGCCTCACTTAGCATGGTGCCTTTAAGGGTAGCATGGTGTCTTCAAGGGTCATGTGTGCCTCTTTAGTTTTTGTTCCCATGGCCACAGGCTCCGTGCCCTCCCCTCTCACCCTTTTCCTCCTCCCCCAACACCACCCCTACTCCTTACTCTGTGTACTCTCAGTGACCCTCATTCTGAGGTAACCCAAACCCTTAAACTAGTTGCGCACTGTGGACTCCATCTTTTACCAGATGCTTAACCCAGAGCAGGGACCCCAGATCACATTCTTTAACAGTGGTACCTCTGCAAGAATTGAGGTAAGGTCACATCCTGACAGAAGCTATGATAAGAGTATCAGGAAAGAAGAGAGGAGGCTGTAAAACAAAGAGGCTAGGAGACAAGAGGAAGGTATCGCCCCCTGACGGCTCCCGCCTCACTGAGGGCTCCTTTCCCACCTTTGTGGAGTTGGCCAGGACTTCCCACATTAGGAAAGGATGGAACCAGAGCAGAGGGTGGTGGGCCTCACAAATATCAGTGCCTTCCTGAAGTATTTCCGGGAAAACAGCAGGAAGGAGGGGAGGGTGGCTATAGCCAGCTGCATTCCGGCCCTGAGCCCATGCAGAGGAGAGGCATTAAAAAGCTCTATTACAAATATTACTTCTTTAAGCTCTTCATTTTCTTCCTGTCAGTAATGCGAGGGCTGATGTAGCTAGAAACCCATTGGTCTGGGGCTAAATGGGATTTTGGCCAGTGCCTACAGGTTGTTAATCAGGTGTGCGGGCTGGGAGATAGCTGGTTCACACGGCCTGCTTGGGTTAAGAGTGACCCAGTTTTCATGTGAGAGTTGGACTCTGATTTTTCTGTTACTGTACTTGATATGACTGGCCATTATTTCTAAGAGAAAGGAACTGCTGGCCGCCTCCTTGCAGGATCTCTCTGGAAGGGCTGTCTGCGGCTTAGATGTGGCCATTTCTTTCATCAGTTACTTGTCGGGTCATTTTCGATGGGTTGAGTGGGACACTTGACAAACAAATAAGCTCGTTCCTACTTGATTCATCAAACACGCTCCTTGCTGGCTGTTGGTTCTTCTTTGCATTGCCAGTCTCAGCTACCAAGTAATGAAAAATTTTCATTGTGTTTGAAATTCATGAGTTTAAGGCCAGTGTGTATATGGTTCCTGTTTTCTGAGATTTTGTTTTGGTTCTAGAGGCATAGGGGTGAGAGGCCAAGGCTATGCAAGAGCAGACTCCAGGGTGGTCTGGGCAGAGTTGGGATGTCAAGAAGGAAGGTATCATTTGGTGGTCAGGTGGGGCTTGGGTGATTTTATCAAAGCTCTGCTGTTTGGCATAAATAAAGTGAGGTAGACAAAGAAGACAGGTAAAATAGTTACAGAATTCCATTATCTTTTTTAAAATTTTTTTAAAAAAATTGATTTTCTGAGAGAGAGAGAGGGAGAGACAGAGCATGAGTGGGGGGAGGGGCAGAGAGAGAGAGGGAGACACGGAATCTGAAGCAGCCTCCAGGCTCTGAGCTGCCAGCACAGAGCCCCATGGTGGAGCTTGAACTCACAAACTGTGAGCTCATGACCTGAGCTGAAGTCAGATGCTTAACCAACTGAGCCACCCAGGTGCCCCAGAATTCTGTTATCTTGAGAGGGTATCTCATCCATCTGCCCCTGGCTCCCCGGTTGACCAGCTTCCCCACACCTGCCTCTGTGAAAGGGATCTGTGCGCCCCCCCGCCCCCCTTGGAAGGCTCTTTCCCTGCAAAAGTTTCTGTCACCTGGAAATGTTAACTTTTGCCTCAGTTCCCCCTTGCTGTGGCACACGCCTTTATTTTCACTGTTTCCATTTGAGGTGGAGGAAAGCTAATCACCACCCTCACAGAGCACTTACTCAGCCTCCCTTGGAAAATGAGCACTGTTGTCTTCTCCAGGCTTACCAGTTTTCTTTTCTTTACTGAAGCCTGGCACCCTTTGCCCACCTCTGCCTGGGTGATCTAATTTGTTAAGTACACATTTCAAAGGGGAGGCTCTGTGTTTGCCAACCCTCCCACAGGAGGGACACTCAGTGTTAGTAATCCTGTAATTCAAGCTAGAGAGGGGGCTCGCTGGGGCGGGTTAGGGCAACGTGTGTGAATGAGCAGAGAGGTATGTTAGGTGCCAGGTCTGCAGCTGGGAGGCCCACTTGCTAGGTGGGTGACCTTGCATA